GCTGGAGTTCCTGTCCTGGCTTTCCCCTCTTGGACAGTGATGTGGGAAAGTAAGTCAAATAAATGAACCCTTTCCTTCCCAGTTTGCTTTTGGTTGTGTTTCATCGCAGCAATAATAGCTCAAACTAAGACAGACATGTTCATCTTTGATGGTAGGCAATAAATCAATATGTTCCAAAGACAGCAGTGGTAAACATCCAGGAAGCTGTGCAGATTTGTGTGTAGTTTCCTACAAAGACTGTGGGGATCACCTTGCCATTTTGTATAAAAGTTGATGATATTATATAAGTTCTAGATCAGAATTCTCAGTGTTGTTCTCAGACCCTCTGTATCAGCATCAGCTCAACTTCTTCTAGAAATATATCCGCACTGATTGACAGAGTTAGGCATGCAAACATCATTCATTCAAACATGCAAACCCATTGCCTGCACATACAGTGATACAGGCACATGCTTACTTCCTCATTGTCTACATATGCCCTTAACTTATCGTGTACTGAATTATTTTATTAACAAATAAGAAACATTAGTTAAGCTGATGTTTCACTGAGAGGGCCCCTGCCATTTTCTGTGGCTTGAAGTCATTTACTTTGGAGAATATATTGTAATTTGGCTTTCAAAACAATATCCTATTACACATGACCATCTGCTGACTTAGAAACTGGGATTGGTTTTGTAGAAAAAGATTTTAGCCATGTTTCTGTGCAATTTGATCTTACCTACAATAAAAGAACTATCCAAAATATTTAATGAATTTATATTATTATAGAAATAATTACTACTTTTAGATGCTTCAAAACTTGTTTAGTATTTTAAGATTTATCTCTATTCCAAGCTGTATCATTAGTATAGTTTTTAATTTATAATTTATTTCACAAAATTAAAGACCAACCTAAAATTTTTAATTTCCTAGTCTTAAAAAGCAAAAGCAGAGTTCAGATATCAAATTCATCATCATAATTATAATCCTCTGTAATCTTGTGAGTAAATTGTATGTTATCAGGTTGTGATAGTCAATGGCTAAGATGTTTTTATTTAAAAATTTCTTCAATTGTCTGTGGAATATGGAATATAAATATCATTGAAACCATGCTTTAGATAGAATTGAATGATTTTTAGAGACATATGGTGCCAAAAATTAACTCTCCAAAGCACATAACTCAACTGGCTTTTGCAATTTAAGAATACTGGGAAAAAAAGAAGGGACATTTTGAGGAAATAAGAAGTGTCCTTTTAATGAACTTCTGCTTTCAAGAATCAGACATAACAAGAGACTTTTCAATTAAAATACAAATACCATATGTGGCTTATTTGAACAATGAACTGTGATCGCATTTCCCAAAAACAAAGACAAGCCAGTACAGAACAGAACAAAACAAACAGAGAAAAAGAAAACAGAAGACCCTACATGGCAGGGTTCATTCTAACTGGAGGGCAAGGGTCAAGGTCAGCCTTTGATCTATGTTTTACCGAGTAATGATTTGGCAATCACTGGTGTAATGAAAATATAGTTGATCAAGATGACTATATAGGAAATGTGTTCTTCAAAATTATACATTTTTGTGGAAAAGTAAGTTTGTAAGAAAAAGGAGATAGATAAAAAGACCACAGAACAGCCACACACTAAAGAATAAAAAGTGCTATGGTATATATATATATATTTAGCACTTTTTATATATATATGGTATATACCATATATATATATATACCATATATATATATAGTGTGTGTGTGTGTTTGTGTACACATGTATGTATATATTTATTAAAGCTTATATATTACATATTAAGGTAAATGTGTTCATATATGATATTATATTGTATATAATCTTTAGCACTTATTAACAACACAGGTAAATTTGCAATTAATGAGAAGTACTTGTTTTTCTAACAATATTACTAAAAGATATATTATTAAAATTTGATGCTATTTATGCTGAAGCGTGACAGACTATATTAAAAATATTTGTCTTCCATAATTAGACCATTATGTTTATAATTATGTGTTATAAGTGCAGGGGCCTTTGAATATACAGCAAAAATACTGCAGTTCATAACATATAGCAATCTTGGATCCAGGCTCGGATGTTTCATGCAGGCCTGTGGGCACTATGTAGCATGATGCCATTCAAATGCAAAGCCCATGTGTTGTTTTCAGAACCGAGGCTGCAGAAACATCACAGGCTCCTGGTGCTTCGGATCAGAATTAATAGTTATCGCTGTTCGTTCAGGTTTTTCAGACATTACATTTGGTTTGAGACCCCATGTGGGGTTGTGGCTCGCTGTCTCAGAAGTGCTGATGTAAACGATGGTCTTTGTCTGATTATTAAAAGGAGGAATCACCCATCGACTCTAACCAGTGTGCTGATCAACTCTGGGGTTCTAATAATGCAACACTGTTCACAGATAGGAGAAAGGGGTCCGATGGACATTTTTATGTTTTTCTTTCAATTTTGCTTTGGCTCTAAAGTGTTCCAATGAATTCCAACGCTATTAGAAGGGCACCAGGGTAGAAATGGGCGTAGTGATCCCGCAGCGATAGTGAGTGGCGCTTGCTAGGGTGGGGAAGGACACACTTGTACGCATGAATCAACACAGCTCTGGCACCAGCAAGCTTCAACGTTCACCCAAAGTCCTTCAGGGAGCTTGTGAACTTCGTGAGTATAAAGTTGGCGGTCTTAGTGGAAATATTAAGAAGAATGTTTACATTGGAGAAAATAAAATTATTTCAGATCATCTACTTATACTTCTTATTTATAAACACAGTGAAGTGTCTCCTTCCATTGCAGAAGCACGTTCTGAGTTCAACATACTTGGTAAAGAAAATATGCTACCTCCTTTACATCTATACCTTACGGAATCCGCAAAATATTGAAAGGTTTGAAAAGATATGATCAAGGCCATTTGGGAGAGAAACCAGTATGTTCCTCCACAACAGAAAAATAACTTCAGTAGTAAATATGAATATATTTTAGATTTAGATAGATGATAGACAATAGGAAGATAAAGGTGGTTATTTATTTGCACTAGACTATTAAAGTTGTGGTTATAATTCCAACCTTCTTGTTAAAAGCTTTTACACACTGAAGCATATTGCTTTTTATCAATCCCTGACAGATAAATAAAACTGATAAGTGAAGATATGTGCACACAATTTTAATTCAGCAGAGAACAGTGATGTGAAGCTCTCAGGCAAATCATATAAACCTCTTTTTTCGTAATAACCCAAACAATGGCAATTACAAATTGTTCCATAGATTTTTTTTGGTAAGACAGGAATGGCAGATACACAAAATCCTGTTAATACTGATCTTTTTATAGTTTTCTTACCAAGCTCTGTATATACAATGTATGAATCTCAGAATTGATGAGATATCTTTATTTTCATACCTGTTCCACAAGCTGGTGTGAATATTGCCAAGCTTATGCCTAGAAAGATCTGTTGTTATCTGCATATATGTTTCTTAAATGCATTTCACATATGTAGCTGGTCTCTATATTAATGAGTACAGAATTATTCTGTTGTTTAAGCTATATAGAGTCTAATACATCTCAAAATGCTTTTTATAAGACCTCTGTTACCATATAAACTCTGATAGAGATTATCTGTTATAAATGCTACCAAGTCTCATATCAAATAGCTACTAATATTGCTTATCCCTTGTGCAAATATAGACATATATTTATGTTATGTAATTTATATTTCATCAAAGAAACAAGAGTTTATTTTCACCTTGGAGAGGCAAGAGCTTGGAGCAGCTAGCCTACAGCATCTATATTCAGGGAGGAGACAGGTGAGTCACACAGCATCTGTACTTGCTTTCAGAGTAAGCTTACTTCATTTTGACAGAAATTTGACCAAAAGAAGTCATTAACAGCTCAGATATTTAATTTTATGTTCAAATCTTATGAATGGCTCCAAAAGAAGTGAATATTATTTCTATTATTATTATTTGTAATTTATAAAGAGATGTTAAACTGATAATAAGAATTTAAATCTACATAACAATTATTTTAAACATAACAACATTGTCTAAATTAGCTCTTATCTAAAGACATCATTGCTGGTGGAGTTATATGAAGTCTAAGCATGGAAGGTTCTACTGTCACTGCCTTAAGGATGAACAGCATCCACGTTCTTGCCTGGACGTCAGTCATTTACCCCCCACAACTAAGCTCTCTTGGTTTAAAATGTACTTAAAATTTTTTATCTATGATGGCTCTTAGGGAGGCCATGTTTGAGTTGTGGGTGACAGTTTTCTTTGATGATTTTCCTTCTTCTGACACTCACTTGTTTTGATGCAAATGAGCGAAGGGAATACCTAAAGGGACGCATTTTCCTAAAGCTGATTCCTGAGGAAAACACTGTATCACACACGTATAGCATACACAAGTGTGTACTGGATTGGCAATTGGAAAGGTAGCATGGTTTCATTTTAAGGATATTAAATACCACTAAAATTCACCTAGAAGTTTTACTTATTTTACATGTAAGTTAAACACATCATGATTTGTTTTAATGCATTTATTAAACATTCAACAGCAACGGAAATGAAAATGTGAGACACAACCTGGTATGTGGCAGCACCTGGTACAGAAACCACTGTGGAAAGTATGGGGTCAGAACCTGCATTTACAATGAGAAAGCTTTATTTCCATCTTTGTTCCAATTACTGACCTAGAAGAACTGAGAAGACAAAGTGTGAAGCAGTGAATGCATGATAAACACCCAAAGTCTGGGATCTGTAGCTCTACCGGAATCACAGCACAACTGAATCCTGGCTCCAGCAAATGACGCCAAAGGTATTGATGGTAAACTCATGGTGCCTTTCATGTGCTTGCCAACACTACCATTCTTTGGAAAACATTATAAACCAAATTTCAAAAGACCAATGGTGCCAATGGTTAATATACAAGGACTATGCTAACTCTTCAGAAACCATTGATGCTCTGTCACAGTCTAGAAGTTGCTTACAGGAATAGTGGAGGGATTGTTGGATACCTGAAAGATAGATTTAGGTTCTTCTATGTTACATGACCTTTGGTAACAGGGTCATCTGAACAAATGTGACAGTGAGGAATGGAGCTGTCTGAAAGATTCATGGTTGTCAGATATGCTGAGTTCTCCAGTGGGCATGGACAACACCTTTCCTTCTCTTTCCTTTATAACATCAGGTCCTTTCACACAGGCGACTCCTACCATTGTGGTGAAATAGTTGCAAGATGCCCATGGCATCTGCTAGTTTCTAGGAGGAATCTCTTTCTTGGCTGTGTTAGTGGCCCACTACCACTCCCTCTTTTCAGTAGCTTGTGCTGGTTGCATCTCCTTAGCAGCTATGAAACCCCAGTGATTCCCAAGGTTCTACCTTTAAATCTCTTTCTATATCCTCTGCAGGTGATTTCATATGATCTTATAACTTACATTGCTAGCTACATGGTAATTTCTCCAAAATTTTTTCTACAGCATTGACATCTTTAAGTCAGAGTATACTTTATTGTTAGCTACTGGACATTACTGGAATGTCCCATGTCCCCAGGGGAACCTTGCGGTCAACTACAAAATTAAAACCACTGGTTTCACGAACTCTCTCATTCAAAACACTGCCTTTTCTATTTTCCTGCTATTTATGAGATGCCATTGTTACTCTGTCTCTCAAGCTGAAATCCCTGGAGCCACACTCAACTCCCACACCCCAATCCTTGCAGCTATGGCTGCTGCCTTGGAAGTCAGAGCTGTGAGGCTAATTGGAAAGACTGGTTACCCTCAGAAGAAACTTGGGGAAGGTAGGCATGACTCCTAAAACATATGGGTTGCTCTGAACCCAGCAGCTTGTTCTGTTAATATTAACCTTTAAGTTTTTCCTAATGCTCCTTTCATTCCTTCTTTAACTGTGATGTCTATCATTCTTAGAAAGGTTCCATGTAGACTTATTTAATCATTACATTTAGAACATAAAATTATTTATACTTTTATTTAATGAATACTTAGAATCCAAATGCTAACTTCTATATTGGTAGTAGGAATTGACATATTAGCCCTCTGATATATTAGCTTCATCCAAAAAAGAAAGAAAAGGAGAGAGTGAAAGAGAAGGTTTAGTAGGGAAATCAAATCTTGAGTGTTGTAATAGGAAAGGCAAGAGAATGCTTTCAAAATATAAGTGACTATGACATTTGCTTTTAGAAGTGGAGTGATGGGGGAAGTCTCTGTCATGGTTAAAACAGAGTGTGTTCTGAGAGCTTTTGGTGCAGTGTGGGGACTCAGTCTAACACTAGAAGTTAATTTCAATTTCAGCATTACCTTTAGTAACACCAAGAACCACAGTATTTTCCACAGGGTTTTATTTGGAAAGTTTTTTTCCTGAATAATTTACTCCATTGATTTTTGAGATTTAGAAAATGTAAACAAAAATAATTGACTATGGACTCTAAAGGGCACTTCCATTTTAAAATGGACAATTCTTCACACAAATATTTTATTGCATTGATGGGCTTGAATTATGCTAAGGAAATTTAGGAGGGCGGAGCCTGGGGTATCTGTCTAAGACCTGAACAAGTCTTGCCAAGAACATAGTGAGTGACCTTTGCATTTTGGCTCTTAGCGTCAACCCCAAACACAGCTCAGGATAACCATGTTCTTGCTTCCCCTTTTGACTCCAAATGAAATCGGCAGCCATTCTCTCTGGAGCAAAGCAAGTTAACTTGGGACCCAAGAGATTCGTAAACTCTGGAAGGTCAACAAACACATGCAGCAGCAACATAGACTAAAAGAAACCAGCAGAAAAGGCTGTGCATATAACCCCGAAGGGCAGCAACAGTAACGAAAAGGAAATGAAGTAACCTGTGTGGGCCTAAAAGGAAAGAAGAAACTGTGTGCTGTGCAGTGCTAGAGTGACATCTCCACATGTGTGAAGACATATAGCAAATGTTTATTGCTCAAGAGAAGAGCTGTAACAGACGGCAGGGTGTATTGTAAAGTCGTGGTGATAGAACTGGCACGCACAGACATTTGGATCAAGTGGAAAGAATTGAGGATCCAGTTATATTGTGCTCTAGAAACAGCTAAGATGCCAAAGGTAAATACTGAAGAAAAAAATATGTGAGACTGAAAACGGAGTCTTCAATGGTGTTAGGGAAACTGGAGATCAACTTGCAGAAGAGTAAAAGTAGATCTTTATCTCTCACTTTGCACAAGTCCTACTCTAGATGGATCAGGAATCTCAACATAAGACAGATATAACCTCCACCGCTACATTCTAATGTCTTTGGCATGGGAAGGTACTCTGTATGCTACCAAAAGAGAAATGTACAAACCAAACTAGCCACAACACCTTTGATCTAAAATGCTGTCCTGCCTGCAAAAATATGCTAGGGTAATGGTGGCACAAAGCTTGTGGGAGTAACCAACCAATGTCTGATTTGACTTAAGGACTACCCCACGGGACGGAACCCATACCTGGCACTGCTTGGGTAACCAAGAACCAGAAAGTAGATAGCCCAGAGATCTATGGTAAAACCAAATACTACTGTTCTTAAAAAGTAGTGACAAAATGCCTTCAAATGTTATTATGCAATACTCATAGATCAATGCCTTGTTCATCCATCATCAGAGATGCTTCATCTTGCAGTAGATGGGAGCAAATACAGAGACTCACAGTTAGAAATTATGTATATAGAAAGACAGAGGGACAGAGATCAGAACACTCAGCTCTAAATGAGATATCTCCTTCAAATCTTTCCCCTCATAGCTCAGGGAACTTTGTGGAAAAAAGAGGCAGAGAGAGAGTATAAGAGTCATAGGGGATGGAGTACATGAGGAGAACAATGACCTCTAACTCAACAGAGCACACTAATATGAACTCACAGAAACTGAAGCAGCAGCACACACAAGGCCTGCACAGGTCTGTGCCAGGTCCTCTGTATATACATATGGCTTTCAGTTTAGTGTTTAAAAGGGACTCTGGGCATGTGAATCAGTGGCTCTCTGATTCTTGTGTCCTTTCTTAGGGCTCTTTTCCTCCTTTTGGCTTACCTCATCCAATAATGATGTGATTGTTTTCATATTATATTTTATTTTGTTATGTTGTTATGTTTTGTTTGCTATCTCTTAGAAGCCTGTTCTTTTCTAATGAGAGAGGGAAAGGGAATAGATCCAGATGTGAGGGAAGGTAGAGCGAAACTGAGAGCAGTAGAGGGAGGGGAAACTGTAATTGGGATATAGAGTATAAAAAAGTAACCTATTTCCAATACAAGGGGGATAGGAACAATATTTTAAAACTACAGAAGACACTTCAGCACACTGGTCCAGAAAAGGACTTTCTAAATACTATTTTTTTCATATTTCCAGTTACACTTGCCCCACCCTTGTGCCCCCATGATGTTCCCTGCTCTCTTTGTTGCTTCTCAAATTCTGTGTAGCAAAACCTCTGACCATTACTCTAAATGCATCTTCTGGGTTTGCACCTTAAGGCACATCCCTGTAGGGCATCAACAATCTAATCATTAACCAAATTCTCTTTCATGTGGCAAAGTTCCCGAGGAGTTTTGTCTCAATGAAGCCAGTCATTCCAGACAATCATCTATCATCGTGCTATCTATCAATCTGACGATTTTAGATACCACAATGTGTCTTAGTCTTAGCAGTTCACATCTCAGAAATGGCCACGTAAGCTCTCCATGCAGCATGGGGATATAGAGCCATAGTCCTCAGGAGAAATGAAGTAGGAGAGTTAAACAAGTTTTATTATGCTTTATGGCAGATTGCTAAAAGTACTACAACAACTTGTCAGATCAAATATTTTTTTTCTACTTCTCTCCCACTTTCAGTAATGAGCTTGGTTGGGAGCTCATTGCTCCCTTGCTTTGTTCACTATGTGGCACACAGGGATTGAATCCATAAGATTTCACTATTACTGAAATATATCATCAAGCATTTAGGCTGAGGCTGCTTGTTCATTTCCCAGCTGCCCAGAGCATGAAATAATCACACAGAAACTATTAATTAAGCCACTGCTTGGCCTACTAGCTCTAGCTTCTTAGTAGTTAGCTCTTATATCCTAAACTAACCCATTTCTATAAATCTGTGTATCCCAACATGACTGTAGCTTACCTGCAAGTTTCTGGCATGCCTGTCTTCTGCAGTGGCTACATGGCTTCTTCTTACTTTGCCTACTCTCTCTTTATGTCTTTTCCAGCCTGGCTATATTCTGTTAAGCCATTGACTGAAAATAGCTTCTTTATTCATTAACCAATGAAAGCAACACATAGACAGAAGAACTTGCACACCACAAGTGGGATCAAGTTTCTAGAATTTCCTGAATCCAAGTTTCAAGATATTGATAAAATTGAAAAAGTAAAATATAAAGTTGAACTACAAAACCAGATCCAAATAGTGGCTGCTTGGTGTTCAAAAGAGGCTTTGAAACCTAAGACATCCTGCAGCCACACCATAGAGAATTGGAAGCTGTGGAGTAATGAAAGAGAAACAGCATATAGACTTTCTGAAAAAAGTAGATGACTTTTGAGGAACAAATGGAAACAGAAGGACCAACCACACAACCTTTCCTTGAAAAGAACTTGTGAAGAAGAAATGAGAGCAGCTTTTCCTTTGCATGTGGCTCTCTGTGTTGCAGAGATGAGGCTTGGCGACTTCAGGTATGTAGGTCCTTTGTATGGTTTACCTCCTCTGCTACACCCTGGAGGGTTCTTGCAAGCTGGGTCCATAAGAGAATCAACTGTGTCCCCTACATTTTACACAAGTCCAGGCAAACGGCAAGCCCTTAACAAATATTATCTGAATGACTTAATTAATAAATATGAGGTCTTTAAATAGTGTCAGGAAAGCTGAGTTCTTTTCACTGCAATTACAACAAACTGTAAAATTTTATTAGCTGTTATGCCTGCTGACCCAGCAGCATGGGTTAACTCTGTGCAACACAGACTTACACTGTAACAGAGATTACTATGCCATGGGAAGTCTTTTCTGTGGCCTCTCTATATCCCATCAGAATAAAGGTGCTTTCTCTTCCACACTTTCACTGAGGGGAGGGTATTATTTCTAGACAAGCATACCTCTCTGTGACTTATAAATCTTTCCTTAAATGCAAGTTTTAGCAGTATATTTCTCAATTGCGTGTTCTCTTGAGAGCATAATTTTGATTTTAATATCTTTTTAAGTAGCTTACAAAGCAACAGGATTTCTTACAGTGTTTTCTTATATATTTAGGATTTTTTTTTTGGTTGACTTTGCCTTGGCGGTATAATTTTACCTTCTACTTAAGTTTTCTTTTTTTTTATTGTGAAACATGATAGATATATTACAGATATATAGATTATAGATAGATAAGTAGGTAGGTAGATAGATTATAGATAGATAGGTAGATAGATAGATAAATTATAGATAGATATATACATGATAGATTTATGGATAGATAGACAGAAAGACAGATAATAGATACTAGATGGGGGCAGATGGATAGATAGATGAATAATAGATGATGGACAGATAGGTAGATATATGATGGATGGACAGATGGATAAATAGATGAATAATAGATGATGGACAGATATAGGTAGATATATGATAGATAGACAGATGGATGGACAGATACGTGATAGACAGACAGAGAGAACAAGCCTGCTTCTATCCTTCCAAACCTATTCACTTTCACGGTCTGTTTAGTTACTGGCAGTACTACCCAACCCCCCCACGTGAAGTGATCCAGACTCTCAAGCTTGCTCACCAGTATTCTCATTCTCTCAAGCATCCCCTTTCAATTGGCCACTAAAATGGTTTCTAGGTCCTGATAGTTTGTTTTCCATCATTTTTCTTGAAATGCATTAGCATCAACAAGATAAAATTGAACAAGAATGTTTCTGAGATGAATATTCACCTAGACTAGTCAGTAAGTTTATCACTATGGTCAACAGAGCTATACATTAGCGGATGGCTAAACAGGTTTTGTCTCAGATGCAAACTTTAGCTAATTAGTGACCACTTGAAGCATTCTCTGTAGAAGCCTGTAGGGATGTGCATGTATGAGGCAGAGGTTAGCTCTGTCATGCACTCACAGAAGCCATGCATGTGAAAAGAGAGGAGCACAAACAGGGCATTTCATTTTGAGGCCTTAGATATGATGCAGCTTATCTATCATGTGGCTGTGTTTGTTAGTTTTTGTCACTTTGATGCAAATGTGGACACACCGGAGAAGATGGAATTACAGTAGCAGAGTTGCCCCCATCAGATATGCCTGTGGCTACTTCTGGGGGCCATTTTCTTGATTGATAATTCTTGTAGGAGGACCAAGCCACTGTGGCACCTTCTTTAGGTAGGTGAGCCTGAACTGCATAAGAAGCACAGCTGAGCAAGCCACACTTAAAAAGACAGTGAGCAGCATTCTTCCACGCTCTCTGCTTCTGCTCTCGCCCTGAGTTGCTGTCTTAGCTTCCCTTCACAAAAAAACTGTATTCTGTAATGCCAAATAAACCCTTTCCTTTTCCAAGTTGTTTTGGTCCCAGAGTTTATCATAAGAACAGAATAAACCATGATGTAACATCACAGGCACAGCCGGGTGGTTTATGTTTAATTGCTTACATGAAAACATTGAATTGTTAGCCATTTTAGTTACAGCAAGTGAGACGTGACAGCAACTTCAAATGGCAGTGTGGTGATTTGAATGAAATGGTCCCATAGGCTCACAGGGAGTAGCACTATTAGAAGGTGTGGCCTTGTTGGAGGACCCAAGTCACTGAGGTTGAGTTTTGAGGTTTCAGATTCTCAAGCCAGGCCCAGAGTGTCTTACTCTTCCTGCTGCCTGCCACTTCAAATGTAGAACTCACAGTTACTTGTCCAACATGTCTACCTGCCTTCTGCCATGTTCCCTGCCAAGTTGACAATGGACTAAACTCTGAACTCTACTACAGCCCTAATTTAAATGTTTTCCTTTGAGAGTTGGTGTGTTCGTGGTGTCTCTTCACAGCAATGGAAATGCTAAGACAGGCAATTAACAATGACTTTAGTCCTTTTCTCTGGAACTGGGCTGGGCTTGTCAGAGTGCAGTAGGAATTGCATGGGCACAACTCCTGGGGTTTATAATTCTTCTTTTTTTACCAGCGGTTATGTGTCATTAACTAGTAGGTGGGATTGTTTATCAGAGGAAGGAAGAACTGGAGAATGGCTCAGATTACACAGCTGTACAAATTAGAATCCAGAATTTAAATGGATAGTGGGAGTTGCATCTATGCATGAATTGCTCCTTTTTGCATGAAAGTGACTGTCATCTAACTGCACAGAGTATCTGTTCAGTCCAGAATATGATTTCTCAAAGAGCAGTTTAAAATATGATCTCATATGACAGTAGTATAGTTTTCTTTATGTTCTTTTATACAAAGATGCTCCAGGAAATAACACATAAAATGAATCACAAACTGATTTATATCAGATTCGTTAAGCAAATCTGTAATAGAGAGCTGGATGAAGATTAGCTATGCACAGAACAAACAGCGGTGTGCTTTGGTGCTCTGTGGGCACAGCTAAGCTGTCTCTATCTCTACGTTCACTACATTAAGATAAATAAACAGAGGATCCTGGCCATGTTTCTTCAGGAGGGGCAAACTACCATTTGCCAAAAGTGTGAGGTGCGTAAGTATTTGATTTGCCAGGTCCTTTAAAAGGCTGACACCTCACAGCAGTAAGAAGAGTTATTAACTAGAGAATACGGCAGTTCCATAGGGGTCTTGAGGAGGAAATAGCACAGAACATCATTAGGAAGTTTCTGTGACCTGGAGAATTTGTGCGAATAAAGTGCAAGTGTAACGTAAAGATAGAATTTAGTGAGGTAGCCCCTATGTGAAGAATGCCTTTTACAAGCCAGGAGTTTTGCTTCCCTGCAGCAGGGGTGTGGTAAAGGCTTTAGAGGACAGACAAGAAACCCTTAGTCTTGAGCACAGCATGGAAAATGATGGCATCAGAAACACAAGATCATGACAATGCCGGAAATGACAAACAGAACAAAATGCCTGACCAAAAATGCATAATAATTAAAACAATCATACTATAAATTTGCTGAAAGATAATATTCCCAGTTTTATCCTTTCCACAAAATCAGGATGTTATTAATATTCTTAATATCAGTATTAGATTAAAATACTTAGGCACAGAGAAGTAATGCAATAATGATCAAATTATTTTAATTGGATTTAGTCGAGGAATAGTATATAAGAATTTTATGTAGATTTTAAAGAAATCAAAGAAGATCAACAATGTTGAGAAAACTGACAATTAAAAAAAACTACAAATTATATCCCAAGCTCATAGCATACTCCAAATAATATTTCACTTTATTGGAAAAAGCTCAATATATAATATCATATGCAAAATCGGTTGTAAAGCTGCAAGGGTAATAGATTTCTCACTGGTAAGGATGAACTAAAGAGTTAAGTGAAAACAATTAAGCTATAGGAGCCAGAAGAAAATCCAGATGGAATTTTAATTGATCAAGGCATAGGCAAATCTTTTATACAAGAAACAATGGAATAAATCTCAAAGAAAGACCAAGATGCATTTGACTGCAAGCAAAGTTTAAGATGCTTAGTAGAAAAAACAAAACTCCAATTTAGAATATATTTGAATCAAAAAACAAAAAACCAAAACCTTATCTCCCCTTCTCCTGCCTCCCCTCCCTCTCCTCCTCTCTTCCCCCTTCTTTTCATCTCTTCTGTCTTCTTCCCTCTTCCCCTCCTTCCTCTTCTGTTCCACTTTCTTCTCTCTTCCTGCTCTCCCTTCTCATATTGGCTCCATTCTGACTACTACACCATGTATCAAAGGGAGGCAACAACAGCTGTTTTAAATGTCAACAAGGAATTACTCATCTATCTCATCTTACCCTTTCCCAAAGAAGCTGCTTCCTTTGTGACAGCCTAACTTTTGTATGAAAGAGATAAGTGTGAGTTTTGCTACCCTGCCCCAGACAGGAGTGAAAATCTGGAGTAACTACAGTAGGATTGAAACTCACTGCTAAAATGTGAAGTGACTGTGTTACACTTGAGTCTAGATGGGATAATCAAATTTTCATTTATAAAAAAAAAAGCTGTGTTTAAAGGGGAAAAATGAAGGCACATAGTTTTTTTCAATATGATTCTAATTTGTACCCATTCCAAACACCAGTCATGATGTATACGGGTGTGTGAATGTTCAACTGGCTGGGTACATTAACACACTTCTAGGACCAGTCTTCTTTAAGACAAAACTTTCTGTTCTAGTAGCTCTTATAATGGGCTGTGATAACTCATTTAAGGTTGGGTTTACTCTGGATTAGTTTTGCACCTGAGAAATGTTTATTAAAGAGGCACTGTTTTATGAGGGGAACACTTCTAATGCTTCATGGCATCCTGCAAGCTAATTTATTTCCAAGGTCACAATCCATTGGAGAGGAGTGTACAAATAAACGTCTAATAATAAGCGTTTGATGGAAATAATGACAATTTCCAATTCCCAATTTGATTATTCCTTATGAATTTAACCTTAAAGCTATTACAGTCTGTTTAGTGTCTAAATATTTGATGAACAAAAGCACTAAGTTTCCATTTGCCAAATGCTTTTGTTTAAATTATTGTTCAATCTTTATGTTGAAGAGATATATACACGACACATGCATGTAAATGTGTATGTATAGTGTGTTCACATATATGTATGCATGTATGTATATGTGGAGGACGTATGCATGCATATGTGTGTGTACATTCCAGTGCTTCAGTGTGATGACACACATGTGTGAACGTAGAGGTCAGAAGAGAACCTTGAGTGTCTGTCTGTCTTTGACTTTCACATTGCTTGAGACAGTATGTTTTGTTGTTATGAGCAAGGATAGTGGGTCCCTGTGTTAGCTGTTTGGATATACTAACATCTTTTAGCTCCAGTCACTTTTAGAACAAAACTTTTCATTACTGTTCTGGTTTTAAATTCTCTTGTCTTTGTCTTTCCTCTCCTAGTAGAGGAGCTGAGATTACAGATGCAACCTACCATGTCCAGTTTTACGTAGGTTCTGGGAATTTGAAATCAGGTCCTCAAGCTTGTGTAACAAGCAGTTTACCCACCGAGTCATCTCTGTAGCCTGCCAGGGCACTCTTATAAGTCAAGTATTTTAAATAGATGCAGATACAGATACAAACACTCCACAAATCTGTGTGGCATGCAGAATTCTAAGATACTCTTTATTGAATCAAACCCTTATTGAGTCCTCTTAAGAGTGACCAGAACCTTGAACTTGGTTCTAATTATTATGATGTACCCAAAGGAATGGAACATCACTATTTATATCTTAATAAACAGGAAGAAAAACTCCCCTAACCTGGAAGAAACCTGTGTCTTGATGTGGGAGGACTGGTCAAGGGGCTATGGTGGCAAAGAGCCACACTGTGACTCCTGGCTGATGGCCAGGGAGAGAGACTGAATTCCATTACCAATGTGTGACCTTGAAAGACGGCCTTGATCTCTAGACAGAAACCCATCCTGGCTGATGACTAGATTGCAGTTTTATGAGATGCTGAGCAGAAACCCCTGCAGAACTGTGCTTGCATTTCTGATCTGCAGGAATTGTGAAATGAATGCAAGTTGGACTTCCAAAGTCCTACACACTGACAGCAATAGAAAACTAGTAAAAATACCAATTCAAAGCTACCAAAGGCTCTTCCTACACAGAAGAGATATTTCATGTGCAGTGACAATCTCATGATCGCAGAACGTATAGAGGAACTTTGTCATTTTTTATCCAATGACAAGGTCTGCAGAAAGTCAGTCAGTCCTGACAATACTGGTTGGGGAGGGGTGTATTCCATGGTCAAGGCTTCCCATCATATTTAATTTTGCTTTCTTAATGATTGTGCCAAGTTAACATTCACTGCTCTGGGTGAACTAAATGATTCAAGGTATGTTTTCCACAAGGTGATATCTTTTAAGTGGAAGTGGAAATGTCAATCAAGTTATATGTTAGCTGATCTATCTTACAGTCTGTCTCACTGCCATGAAGCCTCCTGTGATGGTTACTTTTCTCATTGCTGTGAACAAAAACTTGTTATCAAGAAACTTAAAGAAAGAGGAGTTTATTTTTGGTCATGGCTTAAGAGGATACAATCCATTATGGCGGGGAAGGTATAGCTGGCGAGCACTGAGCACCTCCTCGCTCCTGCTTTAAAGGACCAGCAGAGAGTGGTTGACTGAAAGTCATGCGTGCCTTTGCCCTCAAAGTCCAGCGGTAGTGATGATGTACAGCTAGTCCTTCTCTCCCCAAACTCTAAACTTTCCCAGGGACAAAGTGCTCAAATCCACGAGTCTATGGGAAATGTTTTATATTGAAACTTTAATCCTTCCTGTGCAAGTGCTGTTAGGATCAATAAAACAGGACCTCGTCTAACAACAAGCTACATTGGTTCTTCCTGCCGCTTTCCATCTTCTCGCTCCCGCCATTAGTATTATCCTGACCCCTAGATCCATAGTCTTTAGTTTAGGTTGCTGAAGATGCCTCTGAACCCCTGTAGCCCATGCTGAACATAACAGGGATCCGGATAACCTGGGACTTAGATTTTTGTCTGTTCCCAGTTCAAGTTCTAAGTTGGTTTTCCAAGTTAAAAAGATGGACGGTCCCACAGTCCTCTCTGCCCTTTCCTTATGCTGTCTCTTTGCGCTTTTGTTTCTTCAGACAGGGGATTCCTGACTTTATAAATCTGTGTTAACATAATATTCTCTTCCCAAACATTAACATGACCAATTTTCCCAAACCCTTCACATTCTTAATTTGAAAATTACCCTACCAGGCTGATCCTTCTCTGCTTCTCTGCCATTCCTTCATTTTCTATCCCAATTCAAGATTTATTTCTTAACATACTACAGTTATAGTCATGTTGTTTACTCTCTGCCTCCTTTACATGGAAGACTAAAAGCATACTTTCAACTCAAGGTATTTTCGACACATTTCTGCAAAATGATGGAGCTTCAGATTTAGTGGTATCATATGCATTTTGAATTCTCATTAGTAAGGAGTCTAAACAATTCAAGAATGGCATACGCACATCCTTAGGACCATTCTTAGAATCGTGGACAGGAATTTTGAATTATCTCCTAGCGCTCCAGGTAAAGGGAACCTCCCTCCCCCCACACAATGGCTCACTGGCTTTCCTAAGCATTTCTGTCCCCTCCATTGTGGAACCTGCTTTTCATAATGGACTACTGATCAGAATGGCTATTCTAATGGAGGAATCCCAGAGGAGAACATGTATCAGCCGCGAAGTAGTCCCCTCAGATTCCCTGGTGGTCATGGGAAGCAGGAGAAACTCTTGATGTGTGAAGTGACTGTCACCACTGTCAGAGCACTGTTGTGTGGGGAATGAACCACAGCCGGAAGAGAAGGCGGCTTCTTCCAGCACTCTCGGTACTAGTGTGCCACAGCCAGAGAACGGCATTTCTAATCAAACCTCCATGTATAAACGGCCAGAGAACACATCTCAACCTAGAAGCTCGAGGTGGCAAATTTTTGGCGTACTTGAACATTGTAGGAATACACAAGAAATTAAAGGCTATTATTCAAAGTGTCTAGACTTCATTTATTCCTAGGATTGTGAAACTCTCTCTGCTGCACCTTGGTCCACCATAAAGGTAGCACTATCCTCTGTCTATAGAATTAATTTTAAACAAGGCATACTTTTTCTTAAAGGGCTTCTGCAGCCTTAGTTAAATCACTGAAGGCCTGAATAAAGTGATAATAAACTGAGTTCTAGGAGAGCAAGGCAGTTCGGAGGTGGGCTGGAATTCCTTGCTTGCTCTTGGGCCTTAAATCAGATTGCGATGATAAGGTGTGGTAATGATCTAAAGCCCTGTGCCATCTTCTCTGCCAGGCTGCAGACGTTACTATTCCTGAATTAGAGAAGAGCTACCCCTCCAATTAT